CACTTGTGTGGGTTGTAGACTCCGTCTCATGTAACCACTATTGTGAAAGCACCACCAGCATTCAAAAGTGACCAAAACATCAGCCAGGAAGCATAGAAACTGAGAAGTGGTCTGTGGTCACCACCTGCAGAACCACTCCTTTATTGGGGTTGTCTTGCTAATTGCCTATAATTTCCACCTGTTGTCTATCCCATTTGCACAACAGCATATGAAATTGATTGTCACTCACTGTTGCTTCTGAAGTGGACAGTTTGATTTCACAGAAGTGTGACTGACTTGGAGTTACATTGTGTTGTTTAAGTGTTCCCTTTATTTTTTTGAGCAGTGTATTATGTAATACATCTGACGTATATTGCTTTTTATTAGTAATTATTGTAAAATCATTTAAATATTTGTAAGGTTAAATCCAATATCTTTTAAATTTAATCATTCATTTAATCTTAACAATTTGCTTTCTGTAAGCCCACGGGTTGACTGCAAACTACTGGTATGTGTCAACAAGTGTTAGTTTCCCCAGTGGTGTAAAAAAACCAAAAAACACACACACACACACACACACACACACAAAAACCTTTCTCATGAATGTGTGGTTCATTGATAATTCCACGGAGGAGAACATAAATTCAGCAAATTAGATATCTGTAAACACACAAAATGTTTTCAGCAACATAGAGTAATAAGGAAAATTATGCTTTTATAAAAATCTGTAACTGTAACAGAATTTTTATTTTTATTTTACTGGTGTGATGTCAGGTCTATGTTGTCCCTTTTACTTTGTGATGCTAAGTCTATGTTGACCCTTGTTTTGCCAAAGATGCCAAGGACCCTAACCATGTTCCGCTATTGCTTTATGTACAAAACATAATTCGAAAGGTAAAGAAGACTCTGCAATATTACATTGAGTCACTGTAAATGAGTCAGGGACAATGGTTCATGGTTTACCCTCTGCAATGTAGGCACATCCTTTGTACACAAGTAGGGATACATAATAGGGTCTGTTAGCTGGATTTATTGTTTTCCCCTCTTTCTGGAGTTACTTGTTCCTGATGTATTTTATTAATTAGAGTTTGATATTTTTATTCATATTACCTATTGTATGTGTACCTGCAACTGAATTACCTGCTTTACATTAGGCTTACTGTTGTTTGAGATTTACCATGTTATAATTGATTTACTTTTCCCCTGGGCCTCTCATGTCCCTGATTGGTCGCTGTTGTTTATGTGTTATTTGGAGAATTGCTATATATTCTGTCTTTAAACCAGGAAGCACTTTAGTGGCAGTCTGCATGACTGACACTAGAGGTGTTACTAGCCAGCAATGCAAACACTACTTTTTCTATGAAAAGGCAGTGTTTACATGGAAAAGCCTTCAGGGACATACTATACACTCTAGAACAACTACATTAAGCAGTAGTTATTCTGGCGACTGTAGTGTTCCTTTAATACTTGATACTCCAATAGGAGGGATGGTTCTTTAGACCATCCAAGCCTTTGCATGGTGTGAGTAAATATAGTCTGCTCATGCTGTTCATGTCAGTATTGATTACTTGCAGGGACTGTGTAGACATGTGCACTTGTATCACAGCTCCTTCAAGCGAAGGAGACTGACTTGAGTTTTTAATAGTTCGCTGGAGATACTAAACCTCCCTATATGATAACATCAAGAATGGGGATTGAGTTTGGGAGATGTAAATAAAGATTAAAATTACAAAACTATGGTGGTTTAAAAGTACAAAAACTATGATGGTTTGGAAACTATAATTCTATGTCTAGCATCGCAATATCATCACTAGAGTAAGTTTTAGTGTTAGGAATGTCCCTTTAATAATATCGAATAGTTATTTCAGCCTTGTTTAAAGTTGTCATCCAAAAAGCGTTTGCAATAATTAAAGAAAGAATACAGGGTTTTGAGTTGACAACCCCCCTCTCCAAAAGAATAATAATCAAAAAACTGTTTGGTAGACATGTAAGGTAGACTGGTTTGTGAATGGGGTAAACCAGCGGTTAAACTGATGCAATGAGCAATAGAACATATCTTTACAGTTGCATTAATTCAGTCCATGTTTTTGTGCTGTAAGACCTGCCTTGCAGTATTCTAGTGTCATAGTTTCCTAATAGGCAGGTTCATAATGGACAGTCTCTGCTTCTATACTACAGGCAGAACATGGTTCATTTTACAACACTTGGCTATCTCAGCCTTGCAGGGGTTAATTTGCAATTGACCTCCAAAGCAATTTAGTGTATCAGTGTATATTGCTCAAATATGTGTTCTCCCTGTATTTTGAAAACTGTGAGAGTGAGGAACCTTGAATCATGGGGAGGCCCCCAGAGCTGTATGGAAGGTTTTCAATCTCTCAAAGTCCTAAGCCACTAACCATTGCTAAAAGGTACTTTCCACTGCAAATATGCATAAACAGCACTTTGATTTACACCCACTGCATGTCAGCAGGACTGAATGTCAATGTAAGAATGCAGAGGTAGATCTGTGTGAAGGGTCAGTGTGTCTGGTCTCACACACTTGTCTGTACAGTGACAAAGTGTAAAGAGGGAAATGTGTATGTGTGTGGAGGGTCAGTGTATGATCGGGGTGAATGTGAAGTGTTACTGTGTGTGAGTACAGGGGTATATGAAGTTATTAGGAGCTTCAGTGTGTTTGTGTGTGAATGCTGTGGGGTGGGGTTTTTTGTGAGAAAAGAATTGAGCACTTTGGCACTTCGGAACTTCGCCATTTCGGAAATTCGGGTCTTCGGGGACATCTGTTGCCGCCATTTAGTAGATAACTCCCTAATCCCCATGGTATTAGGAAGTTATCTACCAAAAGGCTGAAATATCTAAATTGGTCTTTCAGACAAATTTACTAATACTAAGTAAAAATTACTTAGTATTAGTACATTTTGCCCCTATTCGCTGTACCGCGAGTAGGGGCATGTCTATTAAACAGTGAGCGACATGCGAGTGGGGGCTTTTAAACTAAACCTATGGCCCCCCTCGGCCCCCACCCCTGAGCGGTGGGTGGTGGCCCTAAATACTAATAAGGGAGGGACCTAATGTCCTCCCCTCTGGCCCCCACCCCTGAGCGGTGGGTGGGGGCCCTAAATACTAATAAGGGGGGGACCTAATGTCCTTCCCCTGCCCCCCACTCCTGAGCGGTGGGTGGGGGCCCTAATTACTAATAAGGGGGGACCTAATGTCCTCCCCCTCTGGCCTCCACCCCTGAGCGGTGGGTGGGAGCCCTAAATACCAATAGTGGGGAACCTGGCCCTAAATACCAATAGGGGGGAACCTATTGACCTCCCCCCGCCGCCCCCCCCGAACGGCGGGTGGGGGCCCTAAATAAAAATGTTAACCCCAGGTGACTAGGGGTCCACAATCCCCTAGTCACCCCCCCAAAAAAAATTAACCCCTACCTACCCTCCTCACACTAAAAATAATGAGGGGGGGACCTTTAACGAAGTACCTATAAAAAAAAAAAAATTTACCATTTGATGTTTTCTTTTTTCTAAAATCTTCTTTTTTTCAGCCCGCAAAAAGGCCAAATCAAAAATTCATAATAACCGACGTACTTAAAAAACCCTCAAAAAAAGCGAGCGCAAAAAAAACCAATCCATCCGCGAAGACTGAGCTCTGCAGGGCAGGGGAAGGCTTATAAAGCCTTGCCCCGCTCTGCAATTAGGCTCAGAGCACTCTGATTGGTGGGTTTAAGCCATCCAATCAGAGTGCCCTGACACGTAAATGAAGAGACTGACAGGTAAGACTACATTTACCTGTCACAGCACTCTGATTGGTTGGCTTGAAATCCACCAATCAGAGTGTTATGAGTCAAATTACACAGCGTGGGAAAATTCCAAAGAACTTCTAATTTAGGGCCCCCACCCACCACTCAGGGGTGGGGGCCAGGGGGGTGGACATTAGGTCCCCCCCGTTATTAGTATTTAGGGCCCCCACCCACCGCTTAGGGGTGGGGGCTAAAGGGAGGACATTAGGGTGGGGGCCCTTATTAGTGTTTAGGGCCACCACCCACTGCTCAGGGGTGGGGGTCAGGGGGGAGGACATTAGGTTCAGAAAGTCGGTAATTTCGTAACTTCGGGACTTCGACCATTTGGCAATTCGGCAATTCGGCAATTCGGCAATTCGGCAAATCATCTATTCGGACATTTGGAAGTACCCGAATGTCCGAATTGCCTGAAATTGGTCAGAATTCACGTTCGGACCAAAATTGCACATGTCTAGTATTTACTAATGGGTGGAGATAAATTTCCAATGTCTCTATTGAGGCAGCCATAGAAAGCTCCAAGTGAGGTGGTTCTGGCAAGCCGAGCTGCATGTTACAAACTCTGCATTATCAACCATGATTATATTGACAGCAGTGTTGATTTGAGATAGATAAAGATTTATGCAGCTGCATTTTAGGGGCTTGGGGTTTGAAAGGTGGACTGGAATGATTGCACAGTGGGTTATTTAAATGAACTTTCCAAATTCAATAGTTGCCAGTCCTCCCCTGAACCTGTCGTTAGGATTGGTGTTAAGTTTGACTACACATTTCAATTAAGTTTTAGTCATAATCTTTTAACTAAAAAGCCATTTTTGTATACATCGTATTTTTATCATCTAAATTGTTTAAGTTTTAGTCTAGTTTTAGTTGACTAAATCTCCAGTAGATTTCAGTCAACACAACTAAAATCTAATGGGTTTAGTTAAAGCATCTATCTGTCTCTTCCCCAGCCCCTCTGTGTCTCATTTTGTCCTACCAGACCGTCTAGGTGTCTCTCTCCCAAGCGCTGGTCTGTCTCTTTTGCCCCTTCCATAGCCCCTCTGTGCAGTGTTAATTTTGGGGACAAATCTCAATTTAGTTTTAGTCAAAGTCTTTTAACTAAAAAGCCATTTTAGTTTTAGTCGTATTTTTAGTCATCTGAATTGTTCTAATTTTATTCGACTAAATCTCAAAAATGCTAGTCGACTAAAATTTGACTGAAATTGTAAGCCGACAAAATTTACTTTTGTATTGGGTGGGTGAAAAACAAGTGTGGATTTAAAGCAATGGAAGTGAGGTATTAATATAAAATCACAAAAATAGAAGATAATTAAATTTCAGCTTTGATTTGCCAATATTCCCCACTTTAAATCCATACTTGTTTTTCACCTACCCAATACAAATGTTAATTTTGTCAGCTTAAAATTTCAGTCAAATTAAGAATAAAGGAAAATGCATACTCAGGCATTCATAATGCTAAGCCAGTTTACGTTTTATATCAAGTGACCATTACTTAGGCTATTATGGGCCATCTTGCCATTTTAATAGGTCTTACTGCCCTCAGTGGTACTTGCTTTTTCATGTTTTCAGTGAACTGGATCTGCTATTTGTAAAAGACATGGTGGTAGGGAACTGTAGATTATACTAACTCTAGTGGCTTCATATTTCAATGCTGAGAAGGAAAAGAAAAAACAGCATTAAAAGTAGGACAGAACTAGAAAGTCTAAAATGTCGTCTCCCGAGACCAGTCCGCCGAATGCAAGATATCAGCAAGTGAAACTCCCGCTGAAAAAGCAACTGAAAAAGCCGAACCCTAAATGAAATGACGACTTTATTGTACTAGTCAGCATGGCTACTGTGTGCATTCAAAATGACTGAGCGACTAGAGCAATGACTCTGCATCAAATATTGCATTAAGCTTGAACATTCCTCTGCAGAAACTATTTGGATGATTCAGAAGGCTTTCTTGGACAATGCCATGAGTCCAGCTCAAATAAAAATGTGGCACAATCACTGCAAAGATGGTTGAGAATCTGTTGAAAGATTTGGCAAGCTGTGACTTCTAGCTTTTCCCAAAACTAAATCAGCTTTGAAATGGAAGAGATTTCAGTACATCGATGAGATATAGATAAATACGACGGGGTAGCTGATGGTGATTCCCAACAAAGAATTTTGCATAGTGTTTTGAACAGGGGAAGAAATGCTGGGATCACTGCCTGAGGTCCCAAAGTTCCTACTTTAAAGGGGACTGAGGCATTATTGTCCTATGTACAATGTTTCTTGTATTTTCTTCAATAAATATCTCTATTTTTCATATTACATGGCTGGATATTTTCCCGACACACCTAGTAAGATAACTATATTATAAAATTAACTTGATAATTATTTTTAGCTCAGTGTGCATGTTTACTAGAACACCATTGCTCTTCTATTAACATTGCGAAAGTCCTTGTTAGTCTTGAAAATATTCTTGATTTTTCTTATTTTCTGTAAAAAGGCTACATTTTCTTGGGATTTTTAATTGTTTATCTCTGTACTTATAACACCAAACTATGTTTACTATAATTATCATTAGAAAATACTGCAACTCACCAAAGATACTGTGAAATTACTTGAAAACATGTTTTTTTTTTTTTTAACATATAACCAAAAATGTGAGCACAGGTAGAACAAGCATCTCCTTTGACTTGATTACTTGTACAAGCAAATACCTTATAAGGGGTTGTGTTATTAAAATAGAATATCATATTAAGCTTCATTTTTAATGCAAGTTTGATTTTTGTATAGTCGCATGTGTATGAGCAACATACAGTAATTATTTCTATTTAATCAATAACAACAATTAAATAATAAATAAGCACCATAACAAAATTTAACTAGCAAAATTGGTAACATAACAAAGGTCATGTGCACTGTTACCTGAAATTTAGAAGTACCTAAAAGAAAAACACACACTACAATGTCTATATAGAGCATACCTCCCAACTGCTAAGAGAGAGTGCTCTCTGCATTGTGTTTCCTGCACAGGACTAGCACACCTAATGATGCACTCGCACTGTGCTGCCGGGGGACAGCTCCCTGGTGCTTACAGATGTGGGACACTAGGGAACTAAATGAGGAAGATCTTACGTTTCATGGAAAGTCCCCCAAACTTCCCTCCCCCCTTGAAAAAAAAACAAAACACACACACACACACACACACAAAAGGAAACCTTGCAACATTACTAAGTACCCATTTTGGATGCTTTCTGGAGGGAAAACAAAGGTTAAAAAGGGAAACAATATAGTTTTTAGACTGAAGAATGTGATGTATCAGTTTGTTGGAATATAGCCAAAAATATGAGTAGCGTTGCAAGTAACAAAATTGGCTATGCTAATAGAATTTGGAGTATGAGAAAATGTAGATGTTTATTAGACTTAGCGGTTAGCGCTATTAAATCCTCTGCTGAGGACATCACACAAATGCTCACCAATTTTAGGAAGCACCATCAAGGCTGACATCAAGTCCCTGTCTCTTGATATTAAAACGGAGTTACCATCAATCACTGATGTGCACATTGCCATAAAAAGAGAGGTATGCTTGCTTAAACTGAAATTGAGTGATATGGAAGATGGAGCTCGGAGGAATAACCTCTGTATCAGAGGAGTACCAGAAGATGTTAAAACCTTTGATTTGGGAGACTTTGACAACGATTTTATTACACAGAGAAGGCAGAGGCCATGAAAAAACATAGCGGCCATACCATTTCTATCACCAAGATTTGCTCGTTTGCAGTTTATGCAAACTTATCCAAATAAATGCCTTTTACTCCATACTGGAATGAATCGATTCATTCATCATTAAGCTGTGGAGTCTTGTCCAATGAATAAGTCTCAACAGGTAAAACCCAAATAGATTGATTAAATCTTTCAGAAAGGCCAAATATGAGTTAGAGTCCATCCATAATGTCACATTTCAGATACCTTCTCTGCACCATCCTATGTGTATTGACACAGTATATTGTCTACATATTGGTGTCCATTATTGATGCAAGCCTAAAGGAAAAAAATTAGTTAAGGGCTAGTTAAGAAAATTGTGATCAGTTCTCTTTGACCTGTCATGGTCCTGGTATTTCTTGCATTTGGCCTGTTTGTGCTTATACTATTGTCTAATTCTCAGACAAAGAATCACCCGGCCACTCTAGGATCTGGTAATAGATTTTCTCTATTTAGTATAGGACACCCTGTGCTTTAGGTTTGTATGCACTTGGGATATATCAGCCTTGACACATAACAAGGGGTATTGCCTCAGGGGATGAAAAATAAAGTGTTGAGTCAATATGTTAACATTGTGCAATACATATTTAGAGCAGAAGAACAGAGGGTCATGTATTGCTCTATAGTATAAAAATTACTTATTTTGATAAATTTACATTCATACATTTTATGTGAATTTTTATTTTTATATACCCATTATCAACATGGAAATCAAAAGGATATAACATTATCAAGTTGTTGCAAATTAATCAAACAAATTAATAAAAAAACACTTGCAGCGTTATTAGTTAAAATAAGAATTCACAGTGGTATTAATTAATTCATTTCCAATATGCGGACAAAGTAGGCAAACCGGAAGCATAGCATATTCAGAGAACGTTTCCAGCTAAACTACTTTTATTTTGAATTTGAAACTCACTTTGAATTCTGATTTTAGTGAATAACCCTGATGGCAAAGGACTTTAGTGGTTTATTTAAGATAACATGTAAGACAAGATCACTGTTGCAATATCATGTATGGTAGATAAACCGTAAAACGAAACAGACAGCATTTCGCTTTGCTTCACCAGTTGGACCAATCCCCACACATGTGATGTGTACATCTGTGTGTCTGTATGTGTATCTATCTGTGTGTCTATATGTGTATTGTGTGCCTGCATGTGTGTCTGTATGGGTATCTGTGTATCTGCATGTGTGTCACTATGTGTCCCTGTGTATCTGTGTGTGTCAGTTTTTGTTTCTGTATCAGTGTAATTCTGTGTAGCTGAATGTGTCAGTCTATATATCTGGGGGGAAGGGTCAAAGGGAACAAAGCAAATGTTTACCCAGGGTCAAATTAACATTAAAGAAAGTCCTGCTTGTGCCTACCTCCTCTCACTCAGAACTCAGATCAGCTCCTCTGGGCCTCAGAGCAGAGGTACCCGTGTGCTATTAGTCTCTTCTGAGAAAAAAAGAGGAGGGCTTGCCATAGATGTAGTTCATATGATCTGCAGCCATTTCAAGTTCTTTTATAATATACCCCCAATGATTACATGCATGAAAAAGTCATGCATGCATTTATTGGAGGTATATATATTAAACAGTGATTTTTTTAGGGAGGCAGTGTAGTGTTCCTTTAATGTGAAACTTGCTATCTGGTAAGATCTTTTTAAAAAATAATAAAAAATAAATTAAAAAAAGGGAGCTTAACCCCTTAAGGACCGGACTGTTTTTGCGATGTTGTACATTTGCGACTAGGCATCTTTTTACACTTTTGTGGTGTTTGTGTTTAGCTGTAATTTTCTGCTCTCTCATTTACTGTTCCCATACAAATTATATATTGTGTTTTTCAGGACAAAAGGGGCTTTCTTTGCATACCATTATTTATATAATCTGATGTAATTTAATTTAAAAAAAATGAAAAAATATGATGAACAACTGAAAGAAATACATGTTTTTTTACTTTTACTTAAAAAATCTTTTACTCATCTACAAAAGCGAATTAAAAAACTGCTAAATAGATTAAAAATTTTGTCCTGAGTTTAAAAATACCCAGTGTTAACATGATTTTTTGCTATTTTTTTGCATGTTATAGGGCTATAGGTACAAGTAGGATATTGCGGTTTCAAAACATACATTTTTAAAATATATCAATAGTGACATTGTAACACTATTATCTGTCATAAATCTCTGAATAGCAACCCACATGTACATATTTTTTTGAAAGTAGACAACCCAGGGTATTCAATATGGGGTATGTCCAGACTTTTTTAGTAGCCACTTAGTCGCAAACACTGGCCAAAGTTAGTGTTCATATTTGTTTGTGTGTGAAAAAAGTAAAAAAAATAAATTGAACGCTAATTTTGGCCAGTGTTTGTGACTAAGTGGTTACTAAAAAAGACTGGAAGTACCCCATTTGCAATACCTTGGATTGTCTACTATTGCAAATGGTATGCCATCATGGCGGTAATTCTCATTCCTGGGCTACCATACGCTCTCATAGGCAACGTAACCAACCTGGCCATTTTCAATGTAAAAATATTTGACCCATATATTTGACCCTGTAACTTTCAAAAACGCTATAAAACCTGTACATGGGGGTACTGTTATACTCAGGAGACTTTGCTGAACACAAATCATAGTGTTTCAAAACTGGAAAACGTA